TTCTTATTTTAAGGTGTTTGTGGTTAGAACTTAACAAAATAGAATAAGAAAACCAAGAATGGATGATAAAAATTTGAAAAAATATATGATATCATTAATTTGTTCTTTTTTTTTCTTTTAAGATTTTATTTATTTGACAGAGAGAGAGAAAACAAAGAGATAGGGCAGCAGGCAGAGGGAGAGGGAGAAGCGGGCTCCTGAAGTGGGGCTCGATCTCAGGACCCTGAGATTCATGACCTGAGCTGACAGTGGATGCTTAACCAACTGAGCCACTCAGGCACCTCACATTAATTGGTTCTTATAGATTAAATTGGTAAAGTATTGGGACACCTGACTGGCTCAGTTGGGAAGCATGTGACTCGTGATCTTGGTGTTGTAAATTCAAGCCCCAAATTGGGTGTGGAGATTACTTAAAAATAAAATCTTAAAAAAAAAATTAAATTGGTAAAGTATCAGCTCAATCTGAAAGTACAAATCAGTAAATTTATAATTGAAATGGAGATAAATAAAATAAAGCAATTAGATTTTAAAAGCATGACCTGTCAGCTTGATTCTAAAGATTTGATTACTAATGTCAAAATGTCCAGCATCTTTGAAGATATAATATTACAGAACTGCCATTTAAAAGAGAATATGTCCAGGGGGACCTGGCTGGCTCAGTCAGAAAAGCATGTGACTCTTGATCTTGGGATTGTGAGTTTGAGCCCCATATTGGACCTAGAGCTTATTTAAAAAAAAAAAAAAAAAAAAAAAAAAAAAAGTCTTTTGCCTGTAATAGCTTTCCTGAGAATTTTCCAAACTATCAAAGAACTTCCATATACTCCTGAAGTATAGAAAACAAGAGTAAGATACCCAGTTCATTTGCTGAAGTAAATATGACTTTCATTTTTATTTTTATTTATTTAAAGATTTTATTTTTAAGTAATCACTGCACTCAACATGGGGCTGGAACTTACAACCCTGATGTTAAGGGTCGCATGTTCTACCAACTGGGCCAGCAAGGTGCACCAATGACTTTCATTTTTTTTTTTAAGATTTTATTTATTCATTTGAGAGAAAGAAGCACGAGTGCGTGTGTGCGTGAGTTGTGGGGAGGGGCAGAGGGAGAAGCAGACTATGAGCGGGGAGCAGGATGCGGGGCTCAATCCCAGGACCCCGAGATCATGACCTGTGCCAAAAGCAGATGTTCAGCCAACTGAACGACCCAGGTGCCCCATTTTATTTTTATTTTTTAATTTTTTTAAGATTTTTTATTTATTTATTTGACAGAGATCACAAGTAGGCAGAGAGGTAGGCAGAGGGTGTGGGGGGGAAGCAGGCTCCCTGCTGAGCAGAGAGCCTGATGCAGGGCTCAATCCCAGGACCCTGGGATCATGACCTGAGCGGAAGGCAGAGGCTTTAACCCACTGAACCACCCAGGTGCCCCTTGACTTCTATTTCTAATTAAAACAAAAACAAACAAAAAAAGAAAATCTTCTTTCTAAAGAACCAACATATAGTGAATATTGAATATTTGGTGAAGGAAAAAGAATCATAGAATCCCAGAATCTTAGCTCTGTATCGGGCGTCAAAAGTGACTGAATTCTGGGGGCGCCTGGGTGGCTCAGCGGGTTAAAGCCTCTGCCTTCAGCTCAGGTCATGATCCCAGGATCCTGGGATCAAGCCCCACATCGGGCTCTCTGCTGGGCGGGGAGCCTGCTTCCCCCTCTCTCTCTGCCTGTCTCTCTGCCTACTTGTGATCTCTGTCAAATAAATAAATAAAATCTTAAAAAAAAAAAAAAGTGACTGAATTCTGGCCCCATGTTTGCAGATGAGAAAACATAGCCAGGGACATGACATGACTTACCCAAAGTTACCGAGTTTGGTGATAGGTTTTTTGAGTACTAGTCTAGCTCTTTATCATGTTACTTTCCTTACAAATAGAAGCATGAGTGCTACTTGTCCTTCTTAGTATTTACCACCATACAGAAGAAAGGATCTTGGAGGTAACTGAATCCAGTGTGTTTCCCTGCCACTGTGTCTCTAGCAAGTGAGCCTCCAGCTGCTCATCTGGCCCCTCTTGAATGCTTCCAGTGGGGGAATCCTTTACTTAGGGATGCTGGCCATTTTGGAAAGCTCTACTTCTTTAGAGACAGTCTGGGTACTGAACCAAATCTGCCTTTCTGGACCATTCTGTAATGGTCAGACCGTAGCTTCCAAGGCAGGATATGTGGAGGTATACATGAGGCCATCCTTGGAGGTAAGGGAAGAAAATATCTACGTTCGTTTATTTTTCATCTTAAGAAACTTAGCTTTTGCTAATATTTAAAATATGACTTGGTATGAGGGCTCTAATGTGGTCTCCATAGCATACTGATTTACACAGCCCGTAGTTCAGCCTTGGTGATCTTAAAAACAAAAACACCTGTGGCTGGTACACTGACCAATTAGAATGAATGATGGCTACAAGCAATCTGGCCCAGAATCAGCGCTATACACTAGATACCTGATGGAAATCATTCAATTAAAGTTGATGGTGGTTTGCTTTATTGTGGTTTATCCATATGTGGTTATGTGGATTTTAGGTTTATCAAATGATTCTTGTGAATACCCACAAATCGAAGATAATGTATTAAAGCAAGTAGAGCGAACAAGGGGAAAACAGTGAAGCCCTTTCCCTAACCCCCATTAATCTGTGGTTCAAGATAAACATAACATTTTAACAATGAGTGAGAAAGTGACTGCTTTCCTAAGGGAACTAATTTTATGGAGATGGTATTTTGAAAACTAATATTTGTTTTTGCCATTATACAATTGCTAAAAAACTGATCACTATAGAAACACATTTTTATCTACTTAATAGTTGGAAATATTCTAAGCTATAAAAATATTCCAACAAGGATTGTTTTCATGGGTTTAATTTGTTAAAAATATTAAAATATAACACCTTTGTATTAATATTTAATCATCAATTGACATCAGGGAAGATTGTTATTAGCAGATGAGATTGAAAAATGAGTGTAACATAGTAAATGTCCCATTTAGATCTCTGTATTTCCTTATTACCTTAATGAATAGGAATGCTTATTACAAGCACAGAAGTAAATAAGATAGAAAAATACAGTGAACCCTTGTACGACACGGGGGGCAGGGTACTGACACCTTCACAGTTGAAAATCAGTGTATAACTTTTGACTCCCCCAGAACTTAACTACTAATAACCTACTATTGGGTGGAAGCCTTATCAATAATATAAACAGTCATTTAATACATATTTTACATGTTATATGTATTATATATTGTATTTACAATAAAGTAAGCTAGAGGGAAAAAAATGTCATTAAGAAAATTGCAAGGGAAAGAAAATATATTTACAGGGTGCCTGGGTGGTTCAGATGGTTAGGCGTCTGCCTTCGGTTCAGGTCATGGTTTTGGGGTCCTGGGATTGAGTCCCGCATTGGGCTCCCTATTCCATGGGGAGCCTGCTTCTCCTTCTGCCTCCCTCTCTTTCTGTCCCTCATGAATAAATAAAATCATAAAAAAAAGAAAATATATTTATAGTACTGTACTTGCTAAAAAAATCTACACAGAAGTGGACCATGCAGTTCAAACCCATGTTTTTCAATATAGGGGTAGAAGAAAAAAATTTTCTGAAGGATGAAATGACAATACTTAGGAAACACAAGTGAATTGACTAGAAATTACCAGAGGTTAAAAATGAATTTATCAATGTTGCTTTCCTAAATAAAATTCAAAACAGACTGAGAACTACTGCATGCATACAGTATGATTCCATGGCATTCTGGATAAGGAGGGAGATTAGATCTGTGGTTGCTTAGGAGCTGGTGGGGGAAGGGAGGGGGCCTTACTACAAAGGGGTGCAAAGAAACTTCACGAGAGAGTCCTGACTGTCATGTATACGTTTGTCAGAATTCACAGAACTGCATGCTAGAGAAAGTTGAGTTTTCCTGAATATAAATTATATCTCAATTAATATGACTTTAAAAATACATTGAGAATAAATAATCTATGTAAAAAATGGGCAGAGGACCTGAACAGACATTTCTCCAAAGAAGATATCCAGATGGCCAACGGACACATGAAAAGATGCTCACGATCACTCAGCATCAGGGAAATGCGAATCAAAACCACAATGAGCTACCACCTCACACCAGTCAGAATGACTAAACTCAAAAGGACAAGAAATAACAAGCGTTGGTAAGGATGTGGAGAAAAGGAAACCCTCCCCCTGTTGGTGTGAATGCAAACTGGTGCAGTCACTGTGGAGAATGGTATGGGGGTTCCTGAGAAAATTAAAAATAGAAATACCATGTGATCTAGTAATTCCTTTGCTGGCTATTTACCATCACCCCCCAAAATGAAAACTAATTTGAAAAGATACATGCATCCCTATGTTTATTGCAGTATTATTTATAGTAGCCAAGATATGGAAGCAACCTAAGTGTCCATCCCTGGAAATGGATAAAGAAGGGCACCTGGGTGGCTCAGTCGTTAAGCAGCTGCCTTTGACTTAGGTCACTATTGCAGGGTCCTGGGATCGAGTCCCGCATTGGGTTCCCTGCTTAGGGGGAAGCCTGCTTCCCCCTCTCCTGCTCCCCCTGCTTGTGTTCCCTCTCTCTGTCTCTGTTAAATAAATAAATAAAATCTTAAAAAAAGAAATGGATAAAGAGGTGATGTGGTCTGTGTGTGTACACGCACACACAATATACAATTCCATATTTATATAATAGAATATCACACAGCCATAGAAAAGAATGAGTGCTTGCTATGATGGACCCCCAGGTGGTTGCAGGGGCAGAGATGGCAAAGGTGGTGAAGGGGATTAAGAGGTTCGGACTTATAGCTGTAAAATGAGTAAGTCCCGGGGATGAAAAGGACAGCATAGGGAACACAGTAAGGTAGTGACGCGGCAGATGGAGCTATGGTTGTGAGCATCGTGTAATGTATGGCACTGTGGGATCACTCTGTTGTACACCTGAGACTTATGTAACATTGTATGTCAACTAGACTGCAATAAAAAAAAATACATTAAGAAAAGGTAATTTCATTCTCCAAAGGGACAAAAATCATATGGGTGTTCATTTAAGTCCAAATAGGAGGTTTATAAAATGAAAACCACTGTGGAGCAGTAAACGAAGATACTAACGAATAGTTAATAGCCTCTTCCTGGTTGGAAAGACTCAAGACAGCCGAGATGACACTGGGCCCAGCGGGGCCAGAGCGCCACGTGAGGGCAGATGATCAGACTGCCTCGGAAGCTCCTGGAAGCGGTGGCAGGTTCCCGCATCCCGCGACCTGGAGGGCGGGGGGTGGGGTGAAGCCGGCTGGCACCACCTGGTACAGGCTTTGGGAAGCCCGCCCCTCAGGAGATCAGACCTGCCTGTCCGGGGCGGGGCCTCGGGAGCTCGCGGCCTGCGGAGCTGGATGTGGGAGCCCCCAAGTCCTGGAGTCCAGAGGCCAAGGAGACAGTGAGTGCGCTGCCCCTCGCCTCCTGCCGGGCTCCCAGTGCGGGGGCTGGGGTGGGGGGAGTGGGGGGATGGGGCGCAGGGGCAGCGGGGCGGCGAGGGGCGGTGAGGGGCGGTGGGGGGCGGGGGACCCTCTAGGCAGGGGTGACCCTGCAGTCACCACCCCTGCCAATCACCACCACTAGAGCTCCCAGCCTGCCTTGTAACCAGCCCTATACTTTTCCCCTGCAAGGTGGGAAGGTGCTCAGCACCTTCACCTTTCAGCTTCCTTTTTTCTCCTCCTGGCAGTGGCTGCCCCCCGCGAAGCTGAGATCCGGAAGGACGTGCAGGTGTCAGCAGAAGGGCCTGGAATGGCCACGGAGGAGCCTCCATTGAGTGGGAGCACTAGGCCTTTGGAAGCCCAGTCGGCTTGGGCCTTTGCCCCACAGGATCAAGGAGGAGACGGGAGGGGGGTGCAGGGCAAAGTCTGGGCTTAGAGCTTTGCAAGAGGAAAGCCTAGCCAGGCCTGGATGGGTGGGGATGGGGGTGCTGGTGGTTATGGGAGATTTGCCTGTGGATAACAGTTCTAGCTCTTCTCTCTCCCCACCCCTACCCTCCCTTGGCCTCTGGTCAGACCTACTATGGGCAGGTGCTGAAGAAATCAGCAGACCTCCAGACCAGTGCCTGTGTCACTGCAGCCAGGCTGGTCCCCAGGCATATCCGGGAAACCTTGAGGAATGTACATGAAGAAGTATCCTCGAGGTAAAGTGCCCTGTGCTGCTCCCCCATCCCCCCATCCTGGAGACTCTAGACAGCAGGTTTTCAAAAGATAGTGATGCAGTCACTAGGGAATTAACCCATCTTCTCCAATCCATCTAGTTTGCCTTGCCTATCATAAAACTGGAAAAGCAAATGGGACACCTGGTTGACTCAGTCGGCTAAGCGTCTGCCTGCGGCTTTGATCATGATCTGAAGGTCCTGGGATCCAGTCCCGTATTGGGCTCCTTGCTCATCAGGGAACCTGCTTCTCCCTCTGCCTACCGCTCTCCCTTCTTGTATTCTTTCTCTCCCTCTCTCTCTGACAAGTAAATAAATAATCTTTAGAAAAAAACTGGTAAAGGACAGCACGGATCATCTTATAGCTCTGTTTAAAAACTTCCAATGACCTCCCTTCCCACCCCATCCCCCTTTACTCGGGATACATTCATACACTTTGGACTTGACGTTCAAGGCTGTGCAATCTGGCCCCCACTTCCTAACCAACCGCAGCTCCCTCCGATGCACTACACTACTCTAGCCAGACCTTTCCCTCCCTCCTGCCTCACGTGCAGTTACTGATCTGGAATGCCTTCCCTCTCGTTTCTACCTTCCAACTCCTGCCCTTCCAACACGTCACTGATGTCCTACCTACAATGTGAAGCCTTCTCCATCCTTGAGCACCCTCTTTCCTAAACTACTATAGCACCTACTGCCTGTGCAGTAGATCATGGGAAATGTTTTCTGTGCTCATGCTTTACCTCCCCAGTTAAATACCCCCAGGGAACAGAAATCTTGTGTCACATTTCTTCTCCAGTAACTAGCACAGTTCTGGACCTGTAGTAGGTGTTCAGCTATAATGCCTCACTAACTGTTTATTCAACAAATATTGTAAATGGCTTGTTTGTCTTAGTACCTGCTACAGGGTCCAACAATGGTGACAATGATAAGCAAAGCAGACAGAGTCCCAGTTTTCTTTTTTTTAAGATTTTATTTATTTATTTGACAGGCAGAGATTACAAGTAGACAGAGAGGTAGGCAGAGAGAGAGGAGGAAGCAGGCTCCCTGCTGAGCAGAGAGCCCAATTCAGGGCTCCATCCCAGGACCCTGGCTGGGATCATGACCTGAGCCGTAGAGGCTTTAACCCACCGAGACACCCAGGCGCCCCCCAGAGTCCCAGTTTTCATGGAGCTTCCAGGTTAGTGGGGAAAAAGAAACACCTAAATAGAAATCCAGTGAATGATGGAAGCAAGGAGGGCCAGAAAAGAAGGAGAGAGGTAGGAAGGAAGGATTTGTAAGATTTAGTGATTCTACATATTCTAGTCTCTAGGGGGAAATATGTGTACATGGCTGTGTTTTCTGTTTCCCAGGTATTATGGCTGTGGTCTGGTCATCCCTGAGTGTCTGGAGAACTGCTGGATTTTGGACCTGGGCAGTGGAAGTGGGAGAGATTGCTACGTCCTGAGTCAGCTGGTTGGTGAGACAGGACATGTCACTGGGATAGACATGACGGAAAGTCAGGTGAGGCAGTGATCTGGACCACAAGGAGGAAAAACTTCTCAAAGGCATTCTTTTATAGATAAAGTTGTTTCCTTTGTGACTCTTCAAGGGTAATCTAAGAAGGCTGCTGAATGCAGAGCTCATTGGTGCCACTAGTGCTTCCCGCCCTGAAGGCTGAGAACTTTGACAGTTAGGGGCTCTTCTGGGAGAAGAGAGTCAGAGGTTTGACCTCATATATGAATATCATGATGACCCCAAGGAGTCTGGTTTTTCCTTTACTTCTCTGCCATCTGTCTTGAAGGATTTTGTTATTGAGTGAAGAGTTTACTCAAGCAAGATCCATGTATCTAGGGGCACCTGGCAAGCTCAGGCAATAGAACATGTGACTCTTGCTCTCTGGGTCAGGAGTTCAAGCCCCACATTGGGTGTGGAGCCTACTTAATTACAACAAAACAGAATAAAACTAAACAAAAACCCAGGTATTGAGCAGGGACTTTATTTCTCATTGAGTTGTCTCAGACTGTAATTTATCCTACATGCCCAGAGGAACCTTGTACACTTTTCCAAAAATATATTATGAATATTCCATTTGTAATAGGAAAGTTTTGGTAAAAAAGTAGCATATTTAAAAAATGATTATCAGGGGCACCTGGGTGGCTCAGTGGGTTAAGCCTCTGCCTTCAGCTCAGGTCATGATCTCAGGGTCCTGGGATCGAGCCCCACATCGGGCTCTCTGCTCAGTGGAAAGCCTGCTTCCCCCTCTCTCTCTGCCTGCCTCTCTGCCTCCTTGTGATCTCTGTCTGTCAAATAAATAAATAAAATCGTTAAAAAAAAACCCTCAATTTAAAAAAAATGATTATCAAATTCATATGTATATATTTATATATGTTTTTATTATTTTGGTTTTTTTTTAGGTAGAAGTGGCTAAGAAGTATATTGAATATCACATGGAAAAATACGGCTTCCAGACACCCAATGTGACTTTTCTTCATGGCTACTTAGAGAATTTGGAGGAGACTGGAATCAAGAATGAGAGTTATGATATTGTTATGTAGGTCTACACCCTTACCATTTCCTGTTGAACACAAATGTCACCACTCTCACTTAGGGTGTTAAGCCTGCCTTAATAAAGGGAGGGGAGCTGCTCTCAGGCCCTTGTAGCTCACAGGTCTCAGAACACAGTAGCCCAGGAGAGAAATGATTATAAACTTCACTGTGAAGAGATGAGTCCAAAAGAACAACAGCAGGACCACTGAATCTGTTCATACAACACACTCCAACCTGTTATCTCCAGTATTATTGTCGCAGCAAAGTGTAGGAGTCTGTGTTCCTCCCTTTCCTTTGAGTTGTTGTCAGATCATGCCTGGATGACAGCCTTAATGAAGCTGGTTTGGACGAATTTCGCCAATTTACATGTGGCCTAAGACATGCGTGGTGCAGGAGGCATCGGGAACCAGCCTTCGTGCCGTTGTGTGGTGACCATCAGTGCAGACACAAATCGGGAGTGTGCCTGACTTTTTTTCCCTGCCCACACAAATTGGCTAACAATTTATCACGATTTTAAACACTCCGTCCATCTCCTTTTTCTTGGGAAAAAGTGGAGTGTGGGGAAGAGAGGAGGGAGGCAGGAAGAATGGTGTAGCTTTGGGAAATGGTGGAAGACATCTTTAGGGACGAAAGGATTTGAGGCACTCTGAATGGTGTGTGAATTTGCCTGACATTCCATCTGTTTTTTTTGTTTTGTTTTGTTTTGTTTTTAAAGATCAAATTGTGTCATTAACCTTGTGCCTAATAAGCAACCTGTGCTACAGGAGGCATACCGAGTGCTAAAGGTAAGAGGAGTGAGGCAAGTTGTCTTTCCATGTCAGTAAGAGCAGATGGGATCTGACCTGTTCTTGTCCCCTTGAGCTGAGAGCTCCAAGTCTTGCCATTTATTCACTACATTAAAAAGGGACAGCAAAAGGGGCGTGGAAGGATGCCCCAGATGTGGATTTATTTTCCTCTCATGTCATAAAAGCTAATAAATCCAAGAGTCCTGATTGTCACTGGATGCCATAAAATAGTTGCCTTATGGTGGTCTCTTCTCTTGTTCCCTGCTGCTCATGGGATAGTATCCGTAGAATCACAGGGACTTCTGGACTGACTCTAGAAGATTGCTGTGGATAGACTCTTCCAGCTTGTGTAGTGTTTCTGAGGGCTGCTTATTTCATCTCTATCAGGATTTCACATCTTTGGGGATAGAAAAGATGGAACTTCTACATTAACGACTTTCTAAAAGGAAGACTCGCAGGAGCTCCATGCCATCCACATATATCATGAGATGTATATCTTTGTGATAGAAGATATAAGATTCTGAGATTTTTGGTTTACAGAGCGTGCTGTAGAACTCAAATAAGAATATGTAGGAATGATTTAATAAAGTCTTATTTAATACGTCATCTTATGGACCAGTTCATTATCTTTATCAAAATGTACTTCTAAAAGGTGAAGATGTTATAGTACAGTCTAGACTCTGAGACCTTGAAACTAGCTAAATACAGTCTTAAAAGTCCCGATTCCTATTTATATAAAAATATAATTATTATTATAAAAATGAATACCATTATAAAAGTTTTTTTTTTTTTAGATTGTATGTATTTATTTGACAGATACAGCAGAACACAAGCAGGGGAGAGGGAGAGGGAGAAGTAGGCCCCCCACTGAGCAGGGAACATGATGTGGGACTTGATCCCAGGACTCCAGGGCCCCAGGATCATGACCCGCGCTGAAGGGAGATGCTAAATGACTGAGCCACCCAGGCACCCTAAAAGTTATATGATTTTTAAGGGAGAAGAATTCAGGAATACTATTTATTTTTTATTAGTTATACAACCACCTAGGACTGCATTTGGTTCGGACTGGCTAAAATTTTCAGCACCTCAGTATCTTTATTTAGGAGAGAAACACTCTTGAAAAGCCATCTTATTGTCTGTAGGGCACTGAAAAAAAGTCTTGGCACACATCTATTGCTTATAACTAGCAAGACAGCTGTGATTTGTTCACCAAGGGTCACCTCAGTACTTCTGTTGGTTTTTATAAAATTGATTTTCTCTCCTCAATCGTTTCTTTGCTATCTGGGACTAATGTCATCTTTAACCTTGTTTGGACTAATACTGCTCCTTCAGCATGGTGGGGAGCTGTATTTCAGTGACGTCTATGCTAACCTTGAATTGCCAGAAGAAATCAGGACACACAGAATTTTATGGGGTAAGTGTTGCTTTGTTATGTTTTATGGCTGACACTTGTTCATGTGCAGAGCTCCAGTTGCTAATATCCAGGATGAGGCTTTGTGATGTGGGAACATGTGGGACTAGGTGTGGTGGCTTCTGTCCCCTTTCTCCTCTGCCACTCAAGAATGGTATGACCTTGGACAGTTTAATTAGTCTCTTTGGGTCATTGTTTTCCAAATTGTAAAATGCAGAGAATAATACAATCTTCCTTATTGGGCTATTATGAAGATTAAATGAGATAGTGGATATGAAAAATACTTTGAAAACTGTAGCATGGCAACCCTTTGGGGACTGAAGCTCCTTCATTTCCTTCTGTTTTCAGTGTTACTATGTTATTTATTCCCTTATCGTCACTTAAATGGAGTCTCTGGAAGTTGAGGAGACGAATGCATGCCTGTGGTCCATCTGATTGTGAAATTAAAAGTTCTTAATTTTAGGGGCACCTGGTGAGCTCTTTCAGTGGAGCATGTGACTCTTGATCTCAGGGCTATGAGTTCAAGCCCCATGGTAGGTATAGAGAGTACTAAAAAAAAAAAAAAAAGAAAAAAAAAAGAATCCCATTAAAACAAACAAACAGTTCTTACTTTTAGAATAAGTTCTGTTAACTTTTTTTCCTGTCACACAGTAACAAATGAATATTGTTAAAATGTTGGAAAATACAAAAAGAAAAAGAAAAAAATTACTACTTAACTATGTAACGTGGCAATAACCTCTTTAACATTTAAGTGTAGATCCTTGTAGGGTATGTGTGTGTATATAATAAAATTTGGAGCATGCTATCTGTAGAATTTAGTATCCTAATTTTATTTGGCATGTTTCCTAAGCCTAAAATCTTTAAAAATGTGTTTTGTGTGTGTGTATTCTACAGCTGTATTGTACAGCTATGCTATCATTTATTTGACCGTTTCTGTATGGGTAATCACTTGGGTTCTTTCTAATTTGTTGATATAATAAATTTAAAAAACTTTAAATTGCCTTATGACTATTAGTAGTAGTTATTATTCTAGTAGCAGGTTATTTATGATAATCTGGAACTAATAGGCAACTTTGTAAATTATCCTTTATATTTTTTTTACTCACATAGCGTAGTACTTTTCAGAAGGTAGCCTAATCCATCCAGAAATATGATTGCAGCTGGATAGAACCGCACATTAGTGACTGTCTTGAAAAATGGTTTCCAGAGGCCATCAGCTAGCATATTTCATTTTAACTGTGACTTTCTAGATCTTGGGGGGACACTCGGGTCCCTTTTCTGTTTCTAGGATATATATTTTAACTAACACCATATCCTTTTTTTTTTTAAGTTTGTGTATTTAAGTAATCTCTACACTCAATGTGGGGCTCAAACTCATGACCTTGAGGTCAAGATCTTCATGCTCTTCCAGCTGAGGCAGCCGGGAACCCCAACTATGCCTGATAACTTTATAGCAGAGTAATTTCTTGAATACCTAGTTGTGGTCTGTGATTTTTCTTTTCTTTTTTTTTTTTAGGTGAGTGCCTGGGTGGTGCTTTGTACTGGAAGGACCTTGCCGTCCTTGCCCAAAAAATTGGTTTTTGCACCCCGCGTTTGGTCACTGCCAATCTCATTACAGTTCAAAACAAGGAATTAGAAAGAGTGATCGGTAAGAAAGAGCAGCGGGGAATTTTAAAACTGCTCCTTGAAGGGTTCAAATGTGGTGGGGTTTTGTTTGTTTTTTTTTTTCAAATGTGGTGTTTAGCAAGTGTGTACTGAATGGCTGTCATTGAAGGAGACTTTGGGTCATCTGGAAACATCCATTTTGTCTTCTGTTTAATAGCAACCTCCCAGAGTTTGGTATTTAATAAAGCACTTCAGTTATTCAGTAAATGAAGTGAACTGCCAGAAAGATAACTGATGGCATGCAAAGAAGAAAATCTCCTTTATGATGTGGGCTCTTCGTCTGCTAAGCAAACCAATAGCCATTTGGTGCTGGAGCTGAACCATGGGTGAATTCTGTTTTAGGTGACTGTCGTTTTGTTTCTGCAACATTTCGCCTCTTCAAACTCCCTAAGACGGGACCAGCTGAGAGATGCCAAGTGATTTACAATGGAGGAATCACAGGCCACGAAAAAGAACTGATATTTGATGCAAATTTCACATTTAAGGTAAATAAAAAATTCCATAATTTTGGACATTCTTTCTACTTTTATTTTTGCTCTAGGGACCCTTTTTTTTTTTTTTAAGATTTTATTTATTTATTTGACAGAGAGAAAGATCACAAGTAGGCAGAGAGACAGGCAGAGAGAGAGGGGGAAGCAGGCTCCCTGATGAGCAGAGAGCCCAATGCGGGGCTCAATCCCAGGACCCTGCGATCATGACCCAAGCCAAAGACAGACACTTAACTGATTGAGCCACCCAGGTACCCCAAATATTGTTGTTTTGTTTTGTTGTGTTTTTGTGTTTTTTTTTTTTAAGATTATTTATTTATTTGACAGAGATCACAAGTAGGCAGAGAGGTAGGCAGAGAGAGAGGGGGAAGCAGGCTCCCCGCTCAGCAGAGAGCCCGATGCGAGCCTCAAACCCAGGACCGTGAGATCATGACCTAAGCCAAAGGCAGAGGCTTAAACCACTGAGCCACCCAGGTGCCCTCCAGGTGCCCTTTCTTAACCTTGCATTGCTTCTCACTTTCCTGGTGTTGGCACACATGCGTGCGTGTATGTATGCTTTCGCTGAACCGTTAAAAGCAGACATCGTGACATTTTACCCTTAATATTTCAACATGCATCTCCTAAGAATATTCTCCTACATAACCACAGTGTCACTATCACACCTACGAAAATCTTTTATAGAAAGCACCCATCAGACATCAGATTAATGGAATTACAGAGAAGTGGGATGGAAAAGAATAGAAGTATTGTGCAACAGTATTTCAGTGGTTCACTTGTATCATCGAATGAAGGAACTCTTAGTGTTTAATGACAACACACTGATATTTCTACTACTCTTTGCAGGGCCATCTTTATTCTCTCAATATGGAAAAGTATCGGCTTTGGCATCTGACACCTGGGTTCAAATTCTGGCTCCATTATTTATTACGTGGATAAACTTGAATAAGTCCTACTTCGAGATATAGTTTGCTACGTTGCAAGAGTAGGATACTAATACCTACTGTGCGGAATTTCTGTAAGATTAGCAATAACAGAGGGGTGCCTGACTGGTTGACTTAGTAGAGCACATGACTATTCATCTCTGGGTTGTAAGTTCAAGCCCCATGTTGGGTGTAGAGATTACCTAAAGTATAAAATTTTAATAAAGATTAGTAATAATATAGCAGAACCTAGGTATGCACTGGGCACTCAGTAAATAGAAGATACAAGCATGATTGTTCCAAAGGTAGAAGGATTTAGTGTTTTCCACCTCTGATTTTTTTGGTCCAAGTAGCACCTTCAAAGTTCTTAACTACCCCCTGGTGCAATGGAGCTATTGATGCCTTTTCACTGATCTGCTGCCCCTTGATGTACTGCCTGCTTTGGAGAGTCACAGAATCAGAGTGGGAAAGGCCTTTGAACCCATTGCTCTGATACAGTGGCTCTCAAAAAAAAACCCACCACCAACAAAAAAACATTTTTAAGAGAATTCTTTTTAAAAGGAATATCTTATTTTAAAAAAAAAAGTATTTGGGGGGCTCCTGGGTGGCTCAGTAGGTTAAAGCCTCTGCCTTCGGCTCAGGTCATGATCTCACGGTCCTGGGATCAAGCCCCCACATTGGGCTCCCTTCTCAGTGGGGAGTCTGCTTCTCTCTCTCCATCTGTCTGCTGCTCCTCCTACTTATGCTCTCTCTCTCGCACTCTCTCTCTCTCAAAATGAATAAAGAAAATCTCAAAAAAATTCTAAAAAACCCCAAACCTACTATGTGTCAGATGTTACTTTATATAACCCCAGTATATGAAGGGGTGAATGCAGAACTTATCTAAAGGGAGCAAGGGTTAGATAGCCCAGACTCTCCTGTGCTCACTCCTGGTTCCCAAGGTATTAGTGTTCCCAGGCACACTGGAGCTCACAGAAATACACATTAACTATTAATTTAAAACCCCATTTTAATGATGAATAAGGTGATACTCAATTTTTTTTCCCTATACTTTCTACATCTGTCTCTGAGAACAATGAGTGTCTTTTTTTTTTTTTTTTTTTTTTTTTTTTTTTTTTTTCCCCAAAAAAAAAATTTTTTTTTTTTTTTTTTTTTTTTTTTTTTTTTTGCTTTGCCACCAAAGAAAAACTGATTATGACACTGGTCAATTGCATTTTGAAATCAGCATGAAACTAATAGCAGGGTCTGAATAGAAGAGAATATCATATCATCTTTTTGTCCTGAAATTGTCACTCCTTAATAAAACCTTTGCATTTCTTTTATTGAGGTTAAAGTGGCATTTCTCGGTAAGTGTGTTTTTCCTGCTGCACTTCAGGAAGGTGAAATTGTTGAAGTGGATGAAGAAACGGCAGCTATCTTGAAGAATTCACGATTTGCCCAGAATTTTCTGATCAGACCAATTGGAGAGAAGCTGCCAGCATGTAGTGCCTCTTCTGCTTTAGGATCAAAGGTTTGTTTGGCTTTCAATCCCTAACTTGCCACTGACTGCTAAAATAATAAATCATTATTCTTTTAGTTGGCTGCTATAAATAACTTGTAGCCTGTTTGTATCTTACAAAATGATTTGAATTAATTTCATAACTTTATTTTTCCAATCTGGATAGTAAGTCAGAGACTCTCAACTTGGTGTACCCATGAAGGGACTTCAGGGCATCCATGAACCCCTTAAAATTTCATGTGTATATGAGTATTTTCTCAAGAAAGGGTCTATTACTTTAATCAGATTCTTAAAGGGGTCCAGATACAAAAAAGATTAAGAGCTACCTTGGAAAAAATTATTCAAGCATTTGTTTTCTAAATTAAAAAAATTTTTTTTTAAAGATTGATTGATTGATTATTTATTTATTTATTTATTTGACAGCAAGTGAGCAAGAGAGGGAACACAAGCATGGGGAGTGGGAGAGGGAGAAGCAGGCTTCCCGCTGAGCAGAGGGCCCAATGCGGGGCTCGATCCCAGGACCCTGGGATCATGACTGGAGCTGAAGGCAGACACCCAACAACTGAGCCACCCAGGTGCCCTGTTCTTTTAATTTTTTAAAAAAGATTTTATTTATTTATTAGAGAGAGAGAGAGAGAGCACAAGCTTGGGACTGGGGATGGGGAGAGGCAGAGGGAGAAATAGACTTCCCACTGAGTAGGGAGCCTGATTCGGGGCTTGATCCCAGGACCCTGGGATCCTGACCTGAGCCGAAGGCAGACGCTTAGCTGACTGAGCCACCCAGGTGCCCCTGAAACATTTGTAAGTTTAATTGAGATAGTCAGATTGCCCTGCAGAAAGATTATACCAATCTACACGCCTACCTGCAATGTATGAGAATACCTTTTCTTTGCCCTCTTACTAATATTGGGTATTAGTTTTGAAAATCTTTGTCTGATGGGCAGAAAATAATTTGTTGTTTTATTTTGCATATATTGAACCTTTTGGCATACTTATTGGCCACTTATATTTTATCCATTATGAACTTCCTATATAATTTCTTTAACTACTTGCTATTAGAGTGGTATTTGCTTTTTTTATTGCTCTATGAAAGATTGTCTGATATGTTGTGAACATTTTTTCTCAGCGTATCATCTATCTTTTTGCTTATTTTTCCTGAATAGACATTTTCAATTTTTATATAGTCAATTCTTTAATGGTTTTTGCCTCTTAGCTTATGATTAGAAAGACCTTCTTTCTCCATGTAAACATTATGAATTTACCTATTTTTTTTTTAATTTTTAAGATTTTATTTTTAAGTAATCTCTATACCCAAGGTGGGGCTCGAACTCACAATGATCAAGAGCTGTATGCTTGGGTGCCTGGGTGGCTCAGTGGGTTAAGCCTCTGCCTTCAGCTCAGGTCATGATCTCAGGGTTCTGGGATCAAGTCCCGCATCAGGCTCTCTGCTCCGCAAGGAGCCTGCTTCCCCATCTCTCTCTGCCTGCCACTCTGCCTACTTGTGATCTGTCAAATAAATAAATAAAAATCTGTTTAATTAAAAAAAAAAGATGTTAAAAAAAAAAGAGTTGCATGCTCCACTGACTGAGCCAGCCAGGGGCCCCACCTATATTTTCTTTTAGTACTTTAGACACTTTGAGATAAAATTCATATAACATAAAATTCACTATTTTAACCATTTTAATGTGTACAATTCAGTGACTTTAGTACCTAGTTGTGCAGTCATCACTACTATCTAGTTTCAGAAAACTTTCATTAACCCCCAAAAATCCCATCCTTATTTTTAAAAAATTTTTTAAAAGATTTTATTTATTTATTTGACACAGAGAGAGATCACAGGTTGGCAGAGAGGCAGGCAGAGACAGAGGGGGAAGCAGGCTCCCTGCTGAGCAGAGAGCCCGATGCGGGGCTCGATCCCAGGGCTCTGGGATCATGACCTGAGCTGAAGGCAGAGGCTTTAACCCACTGAGCCACCCAGGCGCCCCAAATCCCATCCTTATTAAGCAGTCATTCTGCTATCTCCACTCCCTCTGGCCTCTGTCCATAACTAATTTGCTTTCTGCCTCTGGATTTTCCCATGGTGGACATTTTTATATAAGTAGAATCATATACTATATGGTCTTTTGTATCTGGACCCTTTTACTTAACATACGATTTTCAAGGTTTATCCATATGTCAGTATTCCATTCCTTTTTATGTCTGAATAATATTCTATAGCATGTATATACCACATTTTGTTCATCCATTCATCAAGTTGATAGTAGCTTCTTTCTACTCTTGGCTATCCCGAGCAGTACTGCTGTGAACATGCATGTATGTGTCGTTGTTTGAGCGCTTGTTTTCACTTCTTTTGGGTCTACACCTGGTAGTGGGATTGTTGGGTCATCCAGTAATTCTACATCCAACTTTTTGGAGACCAACCAAACTTTTCCACCGTGGCTGCACCATTTTAAATTTCTACCAGCAATTTATCGGTTTCTAATTTCTCTACATCTTTGCCAGCACTCTGTCATTTTCTGTTTATTTTTGATTGTAGCCATCCTAGTTGGTGTGAAGTACCTCATTGTGGTATGAATTTGCATTTCCCCAGTGACTAGTGATGTTAACCATCCTCTCACATGTTTGTTGACCATCTGTATGTTTTCTTTGGGGGAAATGTCTATGCAAATCCTTTGCCCATTTCTTTTTAAGAGAGGGAGAGAGGGGGGAGGGGTAGCAGGAGTGGGAGAGAATGAGAATTTTAAGTAGGCTTCATGCCCGGGACAGAGCCCAACATGGGGCTCAATCTTACAACCCTGAGATCATGACCCAAGATGGAATCAAGAGACCGACACTTAACTGACTGAGCCACCCAGGCTCCTTTGCCCATTTTCCCTTTGGGTTGTCTTTTTATCGTTGAGTTGTAAGCGTTCTTTATATATTCTGGATATAAGACCCTTATCAGATACATGGTTTGCGAAACTTTCTCAACATTTTGTATGTTGTCTTAACACTCTCTGCATAGTGTCCTTTGTTGCACAAAAGTTTTTAATTTTAGTGAAGTTGAATTTTTCTTTTTTCGTTTTTCAGTTGCTTCTGCTTTGGGTGTCATAGCTAAAAATCCATTGCTTAATCCAAGATCACATAGATTCTTCTAGTACTTCCATGGCTTTGCTTTTCACATTAAAATTTTGAACTACCTGGAATTGACTTTAGCATCAATGTTGAGATACAGTGTGACTATCTCTCCAAATATTAACGAGTTCAAATTTTCCTGTTTACTTATTAAATCAATCCCCCACCATTTTGAAAAGCTTATTTTGATCATATCTTAATTTCTTGCATGTATACTTGAGCCAGGATACCACTATATTCTAAAATGATCATTTTCTAAACTATTTTAGATTCCTTTTGGGAATTATTTTAGTATCTGAAATATTGGTGTAGCATTTTCTAGAGCATTTTATCACAGTTTACCTCATGTCATCTCTACAGCTACCCTAGGAAGAAGGCAGGTAGGTAGTTATAATAGATAATAGCATCCCTCTTTGCCTTTCTTTTCTTTTCTTTTTTTCTTTCTTTCTCTATTTGACAGAGAGAGAGAGATCACAAGAAAGCAGAGAGGCGGTGGGGGGGGAGCAGGCTCCCCACCAAGCAGAGAGCCCGATCCAGGACTCGATCCCAGGACCCCAAGATCACGACCTGAGCTGAAGGCAGAGGCTCAACCCACTGAGCCACCCAGGAACCCCCACTCTTTGCCTTTCTTATATATTTAATCCTTTCCCCCATTCATGGTACCAATTATTATATTGATCCATTCATTAATTTATAATATTGTATTTAGAACAGGCTGAGTGATGGATTTCAAGGCTATTTTGGCTGACAGAACTTATAGCATTCACCAAAGTCACACCAGTGATGTGTCAAGGCACTGGATGTTGGAAGCCCCAGGAAATAACGATACTGATGTTGCTGTGCTAGGATGGTGGCAAAGTTGGTGTTTACACACAGGACTTAACACTCAGATCTTGGCTCTACCAGGCAAGGCTCAGATCTTGGCTCTACCAGGCTTGTGTGATCTTGGGTATGTTACCTACGATCCCTACATGCTCTGTTTCTCCATGTGTAACAGGAAGGTAATAATAATCACTTTTTCTCCTCAGCTTGTGAGGATCAATGGGGTTGTTCTGTGGGAAATGTTAGCCTGTTGCCTGGTACATAATACACACTCAAGAAACAGAAGTCGTTACAGTTACGGATTTGTGCTAATTAAGATTCTTGGTTGCTTGGAACTGTGTTCTAGGATTTCTCATTCTTCCACACACCCTTTCTCCTGGGCCCAGAGATTCTCGAATCTTTTGCCGTGAATTTTTTGCTTTCTTTGGCTTGTATGTTGTAGTTTTGGATACCTTGAGAATACATTGACACACAGGTAACTCTTAGGCCTTTTTCTGCTTCCTCTGTTATGTGGCAAGCAGTCTTTAAGAGTACAGCTTATTTAGAGATCACTCACCAACATGGTCAGTTTGCAGTTGGGAAGTTGTTTTTTTTTTTTTTTTAAGATTTTATTTATTTATTCGGCAGAGAGAGATCACAAGTAGGCAGAGAGGCAGGCAGAGAGAGATGGTGAAGCAGGCTCCCTGCTGAGCAGAGAGCCCCAGGTGGGCTTGATCCCAGGACCCTGAGATCATGACCTGAGCCCAAGGCAGAGGCTTAACCCACTGAGCCACCCAGGCGCCCCTGTAGTTGGGAAAGTTTAATGGAACACAAGAGGCAGGAATTCTGGAGCCGAAAAACCAGATGTGGGCTCGTTTGGCCACTCTTAGCAGCATCAATCAGTCACAAGGTAAGTGTAGGAGCCCTGGCTAGCGCTAAAGCGTGATCTACAGGTTTTGCTTTATCAAATTCTTGAGCACTCTGCTGTTTGTTACTTTTCTGTTTTTTGAAGCAGGTGCCCTTTTGGAAAGTAGAGAAATGTGACTTTGGACCTTTCTGTCCTTGAAACCTTTCAAATGTGATATTGGTATTTTGAAACTCTTGGAAGAGTTCACCAGTAACAAAATCTTGCTGGTGAGAATCAATGTGTATTTTGAAATGTTTTCATCATTCTAGTTCTCCTGGAACCCAGCTTCCCAAATCCTAGTTAGAAAAGCTGTTGGCAGGTTACAGTTACAAGTAAAAGGAGTGTTTCCTCCAACCACAGCACTTCCAGTGTACTCTGGCTGTAAAAATATTTAAAAAATTTTCGTTAAGTGGGCTGGCTTCCGCAGAGACCCCTTTCTTCCATCCTGGCTCTCCTTGACCTCCCTTTTAGTGCGCACGCGGGGTGTACAGGAGGGCTCTTGACCTCGGATACCAGTCATAACTTGCCACGTACTTGAACTGGTTTATCCCACCTGCCTCTTCTCTCATCTGCCTTGTTTCTTCCAGCCTGCTGATGTGCCAATGTCTTTAGATCAGTTCCAAGGTTTTGAAATGGCAATCACTGACAGTGAAGGGAGATTTAAAGAATGAAACAGCTGCGTGTCCTAGAAAAATAACCTTGTGTGCTTGGAGGAGGACGTGCCTATCTTTTTTATGGCAGACCTTTCCGATAAAGACCGAGAGCGCAGTACATTAGGCACACGTGGGGGTTGCTGGTGCCGGCGACTTCCTGACCGCTGCCGCCAATGAGGGATGCTGCTTCTTGCCGAGCATTGACGCAGTGATAACCATTTCTGAGATCCCTTCTTTTCTTTCTTTTGTCCTCTTCCTTCTCTTCTCTTTTCTCCTGCCCTTCCCACTCCTCCTCCCTCCCTCCCTCCCTGTTCCTCTTTTCCTCTTCTTCATTCTCTTCCTCCTTCTCTTTTAATCCTGACAAGGAAAGTGTATGTTGCTATTCAAAGAATTACATTAGGGGCCCTTGGGTGGCTCAGTTGCTGGAGCATCCGACTCTTCATCTCAGCTCAGGGACTGATCTCAGGATCGTGAGTTCAGGCCCCACATTGGACTCCACACGGGGCATGTGGCCTACAAAAAAAATTACATTAGTAAAACACTGCAGCATGGGAAATGATGCATATAGGACTGTGGTACACACTATCCTGCTACAGTTAATAGTAGTGGTAGTAACAATGTGAGCAAAGGTAGGAATAATATAGAGAACCTAGTGAGATGTTCAAGGCGCTGTGCCACATGGTCTTCACAATAACCCTCATTATCCTCATTTTTAAAAACTAATTTTTAAAAATTATCCTCATTTGACAGAAGAAGGACGTAAGACTCAGATTAATGTACTAGTCCAAGGTCACAGAGCTAGAAAGTGGTGAATTTGAACCCATGTCAGATTCTGAAGTTGACCTTCTTACCCTATATGCTGTACTAGCTCTCCGTACCTAGACTTTTCATAGAATCACAGGATGTTGGTGCTGGAAAGGACCATTTATCAAAGTGTCTCCCCTTTTATTTCCTTTAAGTCTTGGGATCTTTTAGGGATGGAAGCATGCATTAGGAAGTGATACTGATATCATTATCTCTTATTAGTAGAGAAGTCATGGGGTGGGAAGAAGAGGAGTGGAAAATCATTTTCCTGGGTGAAAAGGAGGAGAGGCTACCTTTTATGACTAGGAATTCCAAAGTAACAAGAGAAGGAAATAAACAGTGGACCAGAGGGCCTGGCAGAAGCGACTGGCACAGCCAGCCCTCTTCTAGGCTTGGAGATCCCCTGCTGGATGCTAGCTTATTACCTGTTAGGGAGCCCAGATCCAGGCAGGCATCTTCATTCTAGAAGAGTGGAAACTGAGGGCCAGGGGGACCAGGCTCCCCATAAGTTATTTCAGTGAAGGTAGTGGTCTGTAGGACTGTCTGTCCTTCATAAATGTAGGGTGCGTAACTGTCTTGTCCTGCCTTCTATTTGCAGTGACCAGTGATCAATAGTGAGAGTGTGCATTTACGTTTAATGAATTAATTATCATTATTCGAAGTGGCTTATTCATGCTCTTGATTTGTTGCCTTTGTGCCTGGTTTTCCTCTGGCCGCACTGGTGCTGTTGTTGGAGGTATCTCATTTGGAGGTGAAAGGAGGAAAAATAAAGACTACCATCTTGTCTTCTGAAAATTCCGCTCACTCTGCCCTGAGATCTTGCCAGCTGGTGTTGGCAATCTCAACATCTGAACATCAGCAGTTGCTAACAATGGCCTTGGTGTCTAGGACTTGCCTTCTTGTCTTGCACACATGTTTCTGGAGATTAGAGTAAGGGAAGGAATGAAGTTCCAGCATTTTGGTATTCAGTTCCAGAAGGGTAAAAGGCATTACAGATGGGACTCCCATAGAGCAAAATGAAACAAAATCAACTTTCCTGGTCCCCTAAGGACCACCTTTAAGAGGCTTTAAATGAAGTTTACCTTGAAAGTAGTAAAAACTTGGGACACCTGGGTGGCTCAGTCAGTTAAGTGCCTGTCTTCGGCTCAGATTATGATCCCAGGGTCCTGGGACTGAGTCTCACATTGGGCTCCCTGCTCAGCGGGGAGCCTGCTTCTCCCTCTGCCCGCTGCTCTACCTACTTGTGCACTCTCTCTCTCTCTCTCTCTCTCTCTCTGGCAAATAAATACCTATATATATATTTTTTTTTTAAAGGAAAGAAAGTAGTAAAAACTTGACTAGAAGCTTCAGGACAAGACAGCCACCTTTATAGCTGAAACCCAAGGATCCCACGGAATTATAAAATTTTACCTATATTCTGGGTAAACCAATCTCAGTCAAACTAAAATATGAGAGTTGTAGTACATCCAAACACCTTTAACTTGTTCTTTCATTTTGGTTTGCCTTTCCTTTTCACAGGGTATAATCACAGATCCATTCAAGCTTGCAGGAGAGTCTGATGATGTAAAGCCCAGATGTTCCTCTGACGTTGCTGGAGGCTGCTGTCCCTAATTTACAGGTGACCGGAAGAAAGGAGCAGAAAGTGAAGGACTTACATGTGTCTTTTAATCTACCCTTCTCCACAGCACAGACCATATGAAAGAATAAATGGCACAAAAGCCACTATATTCTAGGTCATTGATAAAAGTAATGGATTATTTTTTATAAGGTATTAATTGAAGGTTCATAGCACATGACCGTAAAGGCTGATCAAACAGTTTTTCCTCTCTCTTTGCTAATTCAAAGTTCTGGTGCCACTTAGTGGTCGGATGTGGAACTGAGACGGGGTCTTCAGGCCTGGCCAATGAGCAAGAAGAGCTTCAGGAGGAACGGTTGGCTGGCTGGCAGAGGGTCTCAGGAAAAACATTTTCCTTCTGACCTGCATAGCACCTTTTGGACTTTCACCATGCTTGCTCATAAAACAAAGCTCCTACTGAAATAATGCCAATCATGCCAAAAAATTGCAAAATCAAATTTGGTAGAAGTGCTCTTCAGACAACTTCTAAATCAAATTTTTTTTTTTTTTTTTTTTTGCAACTGAACGAAGAAAACAAATGAATAATGAATCTCTTTGACCTCACTAGATCCTAAAGAATGACACCGTAGTGACTATCTATAGTAAATCCTTACTGGATCAGGAAAAGAGTGATAATTTTTTATAAAGAGAGGTAAGAGATGTAAAAACAGTGGGTTTTCTTTTTCTTTGTAATGTGCCCCAGTTAAACTTCTAGGAAACTATTAGATTTATTTCTAGCTTCCATAGTTAAAGAATGAGATTGAGGTCTATTTCAGGATGATGTCATCATTAGAAATGAGAACATTATTTAATTGAAGTCCAGTTCCACTTGAAGACTTTGTTAGGGGACACAGAATGGTGTAAGTCATTCATAAGCCATGGTCCTTGTCATCAGGAGCTGATCAGTCCTTTAATAACAGCTGTCAAGTGATGAAGAGTTGGGGTTTTTTTTTAAGATTTTATTTATTTATTTGACAGAGATCACAAGCAGGCAGAGAGACAGGCAGAGAGAGAGGAAGGGAAGCATCGGGGCTCGATTCCAGGACCCTGGGATCATGACCTGAACCGAAGGCAGAGGCTTTAACCCACTGAGCCACCCAGGTGCCCCAAGCGTTGAAGAGTTTTAATGAGAAAAATCTCAACAAATTCCTCTGACTTCAGTGCAAAAAAAAACCAAGGTGGGAGTGGCATGACCCAGGAGATTTTTTTATTAGGGGTATGAGAATATTTTATAGATATTCTCATATTTGTAAATATTCTCGTATTTGTAAAACATTGGAATAGATTCTATGTTCCAGACTCCACTGTTTTTTTTTTTAAATTTTTTTAAAGATTTTATTTATTTATTTGACACTCAGAGATCACAAGTAGGCAGAGAGAGGAGGAAGCAGACTCCCCGCTGAGCAGAGAGTGCGATGTGGGGCTCGATTCCAGGACCCTGGGATCATGACCTGAGCCGAAGGCAGAGGCTTTAACCCACTGAGCCACTCAGGAGCCCCCAGACTCCACTTTTAATAAAGTTGTTAAAAATGGAGAAATTCTTAGATTTCTGAATGGGTTCAACCATAGAACCTGACTTAATACTACAGACTAAGGAGAGGACTGAGTGGTATCTTTTAAGCTCTATTAATCTCTGTGACTTTGATTCTAAATAGTGCTTTTGTGGTTCTAGAGTTCAATATCTACCCAGTTGTAACCTACTTCAGTGACAGCATTTGTTAGGCTGGTACAGGTGGGATTAAGCATTCTTCATCATCTGTGAGTCCAGAGGGGTCTTGCTAGAGGGGGAAAGGATGAAAAAAAAGGACATTCTGGTTATTTGGTTTATTAGGGTTTTCTAAATTTAGAGGGAGGAGGATTTAGTCAATCACTTGTCCTTCTGAATTCTCAGTTCCCCAGAAGATGTTGAGGGATGAAATTGAACTGGAATGTGGAAATTCGTGTTGTGCTTTTCTTAAGAATAACGTACTTTATACATTATTTTCCCAAAAAATACACATCGTAAGACTTGCATTTGATCTAGAATCTAGGCAACATATTTACTAGATAATATAAATTAAAGTAGACTGTTTTGTTCAGAAGAATGCCATATACAGTTACTTGAATATTCAATATAGGTGAGATAGACAAGTAGGAGCGTATGTCTCTTCTCACAGAGGACATCTCACCTTTAAGCGCGAGAGACAGTGTGGAATGGTGAAGGGCCGAAATCTGATGGCAAACCTAATAGTTCTTTTCCACTTGGCATTTTGGCCTTGAGAAAATTATTTAACATCTCCGTGCCTTTGTTTCCTCGTCTACATGAAGTTCTTTGAAAGGGTAGGTGGCACATGGTTTCAGTTGTCACTACTTTGGATCTGTATGGTTGGCTACCTGCATGGGATGGTAGATCCAGCTGAAGACCGGCTTGCTGCCAAGCGCGGTCCAAGAAGCTCCCTGTAGCTCTTCTGACAGCGGGCAACCTTCCCCCCAACGTTGTGTTATCACCTTTTCAAATATGCAGAAAATTTTAAAGCATGTAGCCACTGCCTCTTTACCCACCACATAGGTCACTTGTTCACCTTCATTTCATACATGTTAAGCTTACTAATAGCAGAGCCAGAGGAACAGAGGCCTAATTCTGTAGCTACAACCCCTTTTCAGAAGATACTGGATTTATGGGGTGCCTGGCTGGCTCAGTGGGTAGAACATGCAGCTCCTAGTCTCGGGGTTGTGAGCTGGAGACCCATGTAGGGTGTGGTAGAGCTTACATTAAAAAAAAAACAAAAACAAAACTCCCTGATATGAGGAAGTTGAGAGGCAACATGGGGGGTAAGGGGGGGTCGGGAAAGAATAAATGAAACAAGATGGGATCGGGAGGGAGACAAACCAGAAGAGACTCTTAATCTCACAAAACAAACTGAGGGTTGCTGGGGGTTATGGACATTGGGGAAGGTATGTGCTATGGTGAGTGCTGTGAAGTGTGTAAACCTGGCGATTCACAGACCTGCACCCCTGGGGCTAATAATACATTATATCTTAGTAAAAAAATTTTAAAAATGGGGGAAAAAAGTGGCCTTAATGGGTTTAAGGAGCAGATTTTCTCTTAATTGATTATTGTACCAAACATAGTATTTTCAGTCCTTTGTTTTCATAGGAAGAGAATTCATTTAAAAATCAGGTAAGGGGGGGCGCCTGGGTGGCTCAGTGGGTTAAGCCTCTGCCTTCAGCTCAGGTCGTGATCCCAGGGTCCTGGGATTGAGCCCACATTGGGCTTTCTGCTCAGCAGGGAGCCTGCTTCCCTCTCTCTGCCTGCCTCTCTGCCTACTTGTGATCTCTCTCTGTCAAATAAATAAATAAAATCTTAAAAAAAAAAAAAAAAGATGAGATGCCCAGACTTAAAAAAGAAAAAAAAAAAAAAATCAGGTAAGGGGCACCTGAGTGGCTCAGTCGGCTGGGTAGCCGGCTCTTGATTTCAGCTCAGGTCATGATCACAGGGTCCTGGGATGGAGCTCTGAGTCGGGAAGTCTGCTTCTGGATTCTTTCTCTCCCTCTGCACACCACCCCCCACCCTTGCTCATGCTTTCTTTCTCTTTCTAAAACAAACAAACAGATATTTTTTAAAAATCAGGTAAGCCTGCAGAGGCTTTGCAGCTTACCTACTAGACACAGCCCAGCAATAGCTTAAACAGAATCCCACCCGCCCCCCACCTCCAGCCACACATGGCTAAAGAGGTCATGGCTCTACGCTGAGAGAGCAGCAGAGACTGCTTCTCGTACTGATTCTTGGCCTTTCCTTGGATGGCTCCTAGGAAGCAGCAAAGGAGTGACTGATTCTGCCTTATTAGATTGGGAGGTTTGCTCAATGAGCCTGGCAAGGAATGTGAAGCTATCCATTCAGTCTTTCATTTATTCACTAACTATTATCAAGTACCTATTCTGTACCAGGCACTGTCCTAGGCCCAGATCACTAACAATCAAAGATGATGAACCCCGTGGGCCAGCAGGACCAAAACAGCTAAGCCTATTTTCTAAGTGCTGGCACCTCTCCTGACTTCTGTGATTTGCCAAGTTTCTTTAACTGCACAGACAGCACAGATGAGGTCTAAACAGGGTTTTTTTTTTTTCGAAGACCCTGCTGGAAGAGTCAGTAGAGGGAGAGCTCACTAGATAATAAAAATGAACTCTTTTGCAAATATGGGCCTGGAGTTACACAGTCCTAATAATAACCTATGACTTGAGCCTTAGTGCCTCATTCCTGTCTCTGTTCGACTGCTGACCCCGCGGTTTCTGCAAGCACAGCTCCCACTGAGGTTAATGGGAGTGTTATGTGAATGTAAGTTTTGTACTTCATCTTCTCCTGCTGCGTGAGCCTTGCTTGTCTTGGACTGATGACTGTACCAATCCCCTTCCCCAATGGGAACATACTAGCCCCTCCTTTCATGGATCAGAGCCATGTAGCCTGGTATGCTGCAGGTGAGGGGAAAATCAATTTGGGACAAAAATGTTCTGCTTGAATGCTACTCTCTGCTTCATAATAATAGCCCCCCGCGTCCTATATGTTGTCCAGAAGCCCAAGAGAGTAAAGGAGAATGGTGTATCGATACTGTTCCGGGGCCCTGTAAGCCAGACTTGGGTCTATATTAACTTTTTATCTAGGCCTAAAGCCATTAACTCTCTTCTTATTTGTGGAATGAGAAGTGATGCAGGAGACCGAAAGCAGGTATTCTTTCTCGATCTGGCTCTGCAGCCAAACTGGTTACTTGGCCGTAGGAAAACCTTGTGTCCACTTGGCGGTTCATTTTCCCCGTCTGTAAAAGAAGGGTGTTGAACTTGGTATACCCTACGTTCCCTGCCAGGCTGCGAAACAGATTTACGGATCTAGATTCTGGGGAGGTCACCGTGCTTTTAAAATTGAATTCATTGCCCGCATTTATCAATTAGAAGGTTTTACATAAAATAGGAATTTCTGACTTCTCTTGGAAAAGTAGAAATGTTGGCCACACGAACCTTGTGTTTCTTCCCGGTTGCCATGACCGGAGTGGAAAGGCTTCCCCTTCAGCCAGAGTGTGCCCTTTTCGTCTGCTTTCCTCCATCCCTGTCCCGCCCGCTTTACTCACCCCTATAGGCTTTTGAGTTTGTGGACTGCTCT